GGAGAGAGCCGGGCCCCCAGCGGCGACAACGCGCGCCGCAGCCCCTTCTGCAGTCTCTGGAGACTGCGCCGGCCACTGCGGATGTGAGGTGTGACAAGAAGGGCGAATAGATGAAGTTGTGAGTGGATATGTGAGATGAGAAGAAGTGTGTGTGTGTGTGTGAGATGACAAGCTGACGAATAGATGAAGTTGTGAGTGGATATGTGAGATGAGAAGAAGTGTGTGATCACAAGATGATTGTGTGTGTGTAACAGAAGGACGGAGGGAAGGAGGGAGGGGAGGGAGGGAGGGAGGGACGGCGGGAAGGACGGAGTCGGGCGGGATGCCAGCCAAAAAACTAGAACCCCACACAGAGATGTGGGGAAAAAAAGCTCTTCCCTAAAACGCCCAGCAAACTTTGGTGTTGAGATCCTGCACTTTCCACTTGCGAGCAATGTCAACAACTTAATGGAAATGGAAATGGACGACAGTCGTCCCTTCGGAAGCATCCGAGAGACTCCTGGACGCCAGGAGTCTACGCACACCATGGGCAGGTCATGGCAGGAGAAACACATGCAATGCTGTGTGCATCTAAAAAACACTCCGACGAGCACATGTGTGCAACATGGAAGTGGAAAACCCTCTGTTTGTGAAGGAAAGTAGTCTTCCAAGGGACCATACATGACCATGCCATCCAGTTCCATATTCAAAGTGTATCTGTATATGTGCACACCTACGCAACAAAACCACCAAGTTGTATTCGTTGCGATACGTTGCGATTCTTGCAGCCAATCAACAGCTCGAAGGCGCACGTAGAAGCCTGGCCGCCAAAGAAGTCACCATGGAAAGACAGAAACGAAACAACCTGGTCGTGTTTTGAATGTGGATGGAAGACAATCGAAACTCTTTTCATCTCTGTCTCCCATCCCATCCCATCTAGTTATATCTGTATATAAAAATATACGCTTCCCGTCTGTACATGCATCATGCTGTAGAGAGACTGCTAGTCACAGCATTTGCTCGCCACTTCCACTGGTGCCCCTTCCACTGATTAGTCTGGCCTCGCCCACCGCTGTTCCATGGCCAATGCCATGGAGGCCAAGTCGCTGGTCCATTATGTTCCATGGGCAGAGTCGAAGGTCAATCTGGTCTGTTGGACAGTTTGCTTCCCAAACGGTTGAAGACGGTTGAATACGGTTGAATGGTCTAAACACCGGGTCTGTCTGGTCAAATATGGGTTGAAGACGGTTGAATGGTCTAAATCCTCTCAGTGCACGGTGAGACTCTGAACATCTCCAACTCACTTTAGTCAGCATGCCGACTGAATCTGGCATACCGGTGAACAAGACAACCCTTGCTCCATCAATCTTTCCCATGCCTACAAGTATGTCCTGGAAGTATTCCTTGATACTTTTTGGGCAGTGTTCTTCCTTCAAGTTGCCTACAAATGTCACATCTCTGAGTCAAAGGTCAAAAGTCAAGGTCTATTCCAAGAAAATCCTGGCCATCGAGCCGAATGCCTGCGCTTCATGACGCAGTGGCGCAGACGCAGTGGCTTCATGACGCCCTTCACCTGACTGGTGCGACGAAAGCAGGGAATGAGGGTGGCTGGATCCTTCTCTTCTGTAGAGGAGGGTCATTACTTAATTCCCTGTTAAGCACCAGTCAGTCACATTGGACAACAAGGAAGCCACTCTGGCTTCCCAAGCCCTGAACATGTTGTTGAACAATAATGTTAGTGCAGACTTCGGATTTCGGTGCTCGGTGACCTGCATGACCAAGACTTTCTGCACTTAGATCTAGTCCAATGGAGTATGATTCGATTGGCTTTGTGCCTGTTCGCTTCAAAATCACAGTGCTGTTCCATGCAATGATGTCCTCTTGGGAATGACACGGGGGTTGGTTTTGGTACAATCTACCTCTATATCTGTTGTTCACTTGGTGGTGTCCCCTCTATTAATCAACCAACCGATAACAACGGCCATCTATGGTTCCATGCTCTTCTTCAACTTTCGCAGCTCTTGATGCTTTTGTCTCCTTGCATGGCCTCTGTGCAGCTCTGACGATGCTGAGAGCTACCTGCAACTAGATCACCCTGTAAACGTGTTTTGGAACTTCCTGGACCCTGCGTCTTTCCTTGCAAAATATATATATATAATATAATATATATATATATATTACAAATGTGTTCATTCATCTTTTAGGAGCAGCCCTTCCCGTTTTTCCTGACAAAAACGAAAAAGAGTTGATCTTGCATTTTTTGTTTGGTGTTGCTGGCAACGGTGCATTTCTATGGATTTATCTAGACTAGCCAAGCGCCCTGCACGATCCTGGACGCAGCCAAACCTAGACTCCTAGACAAACATCAATGGTAGTATATATGTCGAGAATTCAGGATTGTTTAGAAAAAACTCAATGCAAAGGACCTTAGAACATCATAGAGCCCTTGGACATGATTCATAGCCCTGTTTGATCCTGTTTGCCTTTGATGCAATGCCACTCCTGCCTTTTCAAATCAGTTTCTTTAAATGGATCTTCACACTTCACACCCCCCAAAAAGGTTTTGACCGGCTTTCGCGGCTTTGACCTATCCAATCGTCTCAAACATTCTTGTCCAAACGCCCAAGGCGGTCTTTTTCTTGGCCTAGGCGTCGACCAACCCCAGAGCAATCTTGAAGGTGGTTGATGACCCAGCAAACATTTGCCGGCAATCGCAGGTTTCGGAGAGAATATTTTTCTAGAGGGTCTTCCCTGATTCCCCAGGCTGGTGGTACAAAGCCGGCACCACTAGTGGTAAGTCCACCAGGTTCCACCGTTAAGGCTCGAGACCTCCCGAAAGTAAAGGAATCGGTTCATGAAGAACCCCGGGCTGCGGATTCGATGACTTCTGTTTGTTGGACCCACGGCCAGGCCATCGATTGTGACCATATCTAGTCTAGCATCGTCAAAGCTGCGCTGGCTGGTCAGCAAAGGAACGCCTGGTGTATGTACACGGTCCGACCAGGTCCGTCCGAACATCAAGTTCTGCTTCCCAGACGCTGTCTCCAGGAGAAACTATGCTCAGGGCTATGCACAATGCTCAGGACTGAAACCCCTTCTGTGAAGACAAATATACTGACTATAGGACTCAAAAAACATAAGGACAAATAGAAACATACCAGTGCATTTTTGATCCCCGTGACAGTACACATCCAAAACATTTGATATATCTTGTGAACTCTTTTGACATATAAGTTAGTTCTCTTGACGAGCAGCATGTCCGGCATGCCCTGAATAAACTTAATCTCATCATCTTCCGGCTGTGTGATGTCATTGCTATGTCGCACGCATGGGCCGTGAACAGCTGACATCGATTGGAGGCACACAGCCTGCTCAAATCACCGTAATCGTATTGAGGCAACGGAAAATCTTGGAAGATCATTGCAACCCCAAGCTGTGCTACTTTCGTTGCGTGTAGGCCTTCGGAACAAGGACGTAAATATGGGGCATTGTGGGACTATAGCTGGTTGTTGAGCCTGTTGTTTTAACCGCACACATGTGAAAACCATTCCTCCCTCTATGCATATGTTCTACTCTCGTCGACCAGTCCCCCCAACCAACCCCTGTAGCTAACTACTGTACATGTAACTACTACCAGGCCGGAGGTCTTCGAGAGCCACATGCCTCACAATGTTAGGGAAGAATGGCCGGAAAAGCAAGACCGGCTGGCGCGCGGGACGAGGTCTGGGGGTACCAAAGCAGCGGAATGCAACGATGTCAGGATGTGGTCAAACTGGTCTCTGACCACTATAAAAGCCAAATCATTGTAAAGCACTATTATAGTGACCACTAACTTGACCACTATTATAGTGACCAAATTATTGTAAACCACTGTAAGACCACTAACTATCATAGCCCCATTCAGTTGCACACCATTTCCATGATTCCAAACTCCCAATAAGGATAATAAGGCGCCTTTCTTCCCAATTCCCGCGCACCACGGCAGTGGCGCGCGCTCAGCTGCTGTTGCGTCGCGCGAGCGATGGCACGCTGCCCGTGGCGTCACGGCCGTCGCCCGCGGGCGAGGGAGGGGTCCAGGACCTGTGGACATGGCGCCGCTCGTCGTTGGATCGAACAGAGTCGGTCAAAGGACGAGCGGCTGGTGGTTTGTCAAGCCGGTCTCTGCGTTCTCTCTGTTCAGCGGCGGATTCGTCGACTGGAAAAGTCTTAGAGTCATTGGATTCCATGTCTGCTCAGGTAGGGAAATCGACTTTGAATAGGCAGATGTCACGTAGGACAACTCCGTGATTGAAGATATGTTACAAGCCATTTCCTAAGACATCCTAAGACTCTGTGTATCAGGAAGTGGTCCAAACAGTGACCTTTGGCTTTTGGTGGAAGGGGGCAACTTGATGGGCATGTTGTGCGGATCCAAAAATGCAATCCCAGAATTGACTCTTTTTTTAATGTAACGTTACCAAAGTGTTATATATAAAAAATAAAACACATGAACTGCACTACAGTCACAAAATAGTATACTCCAGAACATCCAGCCTACTCATGTGTTTGTTACAGGGAACTCCTTCACGCCCAACTCGAGCTCACAAACACATTGAGGTCACTGAGTCACCAAAGATCAGATTTGGACATATATTTGGAAAGCCGGTGGGCTGAGGCTGAGTATCAAAATCCACAGTCGGGTTGGTACGTTACATGGATGATAAATGATGTGTATATATATATATACAATAATTTGAATGGAAATAATATCTGATCCAAATAGCAAAGGGGTCCATTAACGAATATTAAGCATGCTTCGGGAGATGCTGGAAACTACTGGCTACAAAACCTGGACCAAAATGCTTGATCTCCTTGAGCTAGCTTTAGAGTATTTTGACTGTAAAAAGGGCCCCCCTGGAAGACAAGGTGCATCTACAACCCAGAGATTTTCGGGGTCCTTGTTGATCTGCCGAACCACCGTCTACAACCCCGCACGACGTGTTTCGCGATCGGTTACCGTGGCGCACGTGAGGATTCCATATTGGCGAAGAGCGTCGTTTCTCGTCATCCCTCGCCTGAGTGCTGGCCAAGTTGGATTTGTGAAACTGCGCTGCTTTTGTGGCAGGTCCTGAGAATGTAGCCGTTACTCTGAATCGCTGCTGGATAGGAAAGCCTACCTAGCAAAGCCAATTTCTCTTTGCTGGTTCTTCCTGGATGTTCAGCGATGCCACATCTAGTCCTCAGTCGTGGAGGCTTTACTGCAACTTCTCATGGTTCCACATCTCCACCGCCAGAAGGCTCCTCTCTTAGCCAAACCGCCAGAATCATGCTCCTCTCTTAGCCAAACCGTGATCTTCACGAACACAAACCGTGATCGACTCACCTGGTTTTGGGCCCTTCGAGTCTTCCATTTCGGTTAAAACGACTGCGATCGGATTGAACATGTCGCCGAAGGTCGCGAGTTGCCCGGCACCAGACGAACAGTACAAGACTAAAACACCTTGCCCGGGTGGGTGGCACAAAATAGATCATAATACCCAAACACTCCATGGGACTGCCATATATGCCTACATTGACCCCCAAAACCACCCCAATGTCATATATGGCAGTCGCATGGAGTGTCTGGGATAGCTGGTCCAACTCGGTGCCATGAGAATGTTTTGCACATGCGGTGGGCAGCGGATACTGCTGTGGATAGTGATCATCTTTTGGCTGAATGCTTGCTCATTCCTTTCTCGGGTGACCATAGGCCATAGGCTTTTCCACCCACATCTATTGTGTAGATCTCGGTTGTCGCCGTCTTATTACACCACATATTTGCATTGCATACAGTAATAATCTGAATTTAGGACCTTCCAAGACTTTACGTAATATATATATATATACAGTACTTGTCTCTGCCCCATGACTTACTCAGGAAAAAAGTTGACACGGTCTTTTGCTCAACTGTTGCAATAAACAGCTCCTTTATAAGTCTCGGCTCAAAACGCACTGAGGATAGGGCAACGAGTTCCAGTGCGCCTTAGAGGCACTGTAGCTGGAGGAGATGCATGGACTATCTCAAAAGGTGTTCAAACATCAACTGCAAATGTTCTTGACTTGAACGTACAAATGTCCATCTACAAAATCTACGACCCATTATGAAACTGTGCCTCAAACAAGTCAAATTGAAAAAGCAGGGGTACCAAGGGCAGTTATTTGCTTTGTTGAAACATGTTGCTTGCAGGGTTTTAATTGAAACATCCCAAGCGCAAGGTGATTGTCCCTTCCAACTGGAGAAGTGATCCTATAGGTCCTAAGGTGGGGTTGCGCTACCTGGATTAGAACATCCAAAGGAAAGCACCAAAAGAGCACCAACAAACGCGTGCAAAACGACATGACAAGCAGGGTGCTCCAAGCATCTGCCTCCCCCCGCTGCTTTCCACAAGTCGCGCCATTCGTTCGCCAGTTGCAGTGAAACAGTGAGGGCACCGACCTGAAGTCTCTGCCCTGGCAGCCATAATAGGTGAGTTCACCGGGGAGAGCAACGTTGCAAACATTCGTCCTCTCGAACAAGAGGTGTAGGTTGCTTGTATGGCATTGATCCTTTAGACATCCCTGAGCTGCGGTTCACACCAGAAACATTGCCTTTGGCTGGAACTTTGCCCCAATACAATTATAGAGTGTAGTTACTAAACAAAGTATATACATCATTCAACCATGTTCAACTTCTCAGTTTCACTTCAGGTCGTTGTCATTGATGAATTCTCATCCACCAGTGCCTTCAAAGCAGCTCTTCGAGCGCCTTTTCGACAGTGGACGGCTGGGTGCCAACTTCACTAACGGCCAACCTGGAAGAGGCTCCCCACGGCTGCAAAGAAAAATCTTGCATGTCTACATTCACAAGAGCACACCCACACTGACAAATGAATTACATATTATATATATATATATTCAGAATGACTATGACTCTGACTATGACGCTGCTCCTTTTTCAACATGAACCCGACGCACTATACAAAAATTACAACACGAACCTGTTGGTGGCATTTGGTGTGTGGCTGTCATATGTTCTCAGGGCTGCCAGTGGAGGTTATCACATTGATCATTCAAACCCGTCAAGAATGATTAAAATTGCTTAAAGAAACGAATGTTCATAAATGTTCACCTGATTTCATGCTTACCTTGCAGAACTCTGAGTGGTTTCGGGTCCAGGAACGAATGCAGTCCGCATAGAAAGCCCAAACAAAGAAACCATATAGAAAAGAAACAAACACTTCAAACACCCAAACAACACCAACTTACATCGAAGCATCTGGAACCTGCTTCAACACATGGACATCTTAAACACATTCAAAACTAGTTCCATCTAGTTGCAAGGTACTGTGGCAACCGCGACACGTGCTGCAAGACTACCCACCATGACACGTCCAAGGTACCGCCTGAAACTGCTGCTTCATCCAATTCTCGAATTCGTCCTCTACCAGAATGCACTGCTTTGACGCAGTGACCTGAGTGCATCAGAATTTTGCGGCCAAGATTAGCCAAGACTACTTTTGAGGAAGATGCTTTAGTTTCAACTTACGGTCCTACCTGCTCGGTCCGCAGAAAGGATTCTTTCCACCAAAGGACAACTGGCAACCCATAAGACCTAGTGATTCCACGTCGGGCCTCACAGTTCTTGGTGTTCCGCTGCACCAGCATGGCGGCCATGCCGCGCTTGGCCGCCGCGTGCACCGGTGCTTGGGTGCGCGCGCGCATCTTGGGGTCGCTGGCCTCGTCGGGCATCGTCCTGAAGTGGATTGAACTCTTCGGTGTTTGCCGGTTGCTTTTGTTCCATTGGAACCTGGCATGATCACACCCAAACACTCCATGTATTACTATATACGCCTACATTGGGGTGGTTTTGGTGGGTTCAAAAAGTAAATGTAGGCATATATGGCATACATGGAGTGTTTGAGACATATCAATGCAAAATTCTGTGTTCTAAGTGATCAACCCAAATTTCAGAATGCATGGCACAAGTTGTATCCTCAGTCGTGGTATCCACCCTCCAAAGTGGACCAAAAACGGCCCTGGGATTCCCTTGGGCAAGCTTTACCAACAGGCTGCTCCCAACATGCAGAAGCCAGGTCCATGTTTTTACATGCCGGTGCATCTGATGCCCCACATCCCGATTCCCGATGCCGCTCGTGATTTGCGTCGCTCCTGCTCAAACGTCGGTGGCATTTTCGAACCTCCGTCAAGACGCCCGAGTGGATGCTGCCAAACCTGGCGGGAGATTCCCGCGACGCACGACAAGGAGGCCTCCTGCCCCCAACTTGGTGTGCTGCTGCACATCTCAAGCAGAGCCACCGGAGGGAGCACGCGGAACCCGAACAACTTCCGACCAGAAGTTGTAAAAAACAGTTCTGTGCTCATTATGAGCTCGCGGAATGCCTTCCCTCTCAATGCGCTGTTGCGCTTGGTATTTCCTGAGGACGTTCCTTGGGGACTGTGATGGAAGCCATGTGGGGCTGACCACCTACGCCGGCCCAAACATACAAGCAGCACACTTATTAATACGGTATCGCTGCCCTTTCCCTAGGACATGTCCAACAAAAGCCCTTGAGGTCAGTGACCATTCTTCCTCAAAACTCCAAAAAATCCATGGGTCTTCTGACCAAAATGCCGCAGCTTCCGGAACCTGACGACCCAAAACCGCTTCTTCCCGCTGGTTCCCCGCGCTAGCCGGCGCGGGAAACACATGGCCAACTCCGCACCTAGCGGTCTGCGCCGTACTCTGCGTGGCGGTGCGCCGGGCGACGGCGCAGAAGGTCTCGAAGATGGAAATCCTGGGAGGTTGGAGGAGGGACGTCTCGAAGATTTCTCTGATGGTCACTCAGGAGATTTAACTGACATTTCCGCAAACTGAAACTATGTCAGAAGGTATGGGATTGCCACTAGACTTTGTGATGCTTTTTCAGGTTCTGGGCTTGGGCCTTTACACCTCTAGGCTCTCCAGGCCGAATCTTTGGTGAAGACCGCCCTGATCGCTGTGCACGTGACGAAGCCTGGTGATAGCCCCAACACATTGGGAGAATACTGATGCCAGGATGTGCAAACATATCACGGCATGCCATGCTGCTATCCACAAGCGACCAAAAACATAGCAGACCTATGGACACCAAGGACTGCTTAGAACTTAAACAGCTGGAACAATCGATAAGCAATCGATCATAAAACCCAAACACTCCATGTATGCCATATATGCTACATTGGGGTGGTTTTGGGGGGTCAATGTAGACATATATATATATGGCATACATGGAGCGTCTGGGAAATACAAAAGCCCTTCGAATCGTGGGTTGGGGTACCAAATCAAATTCCTGGAAGCCAAGCGAACGCTCATACTGGTGTTTGCGCTGGGGACTTGCCAGGCTGATCGTAGAACCCAGAAGTCAAAGGGAGGGGGTGTCCTGTCTGAACATCGATCTGGCCAGCGATCACCTCATGGGAGGAGACCAAATTCGCTGTAAAAAGCAGAAAAACACGGGACCCGGTGGCACGCGGCACATCGTACTGCTCCAAAGGGCCGCACCGGTTGGAGGGAACCCTTCATCTTGATCTTCTTCCGCTTGTCCAGGATGCGAGCCTGAAAGCAGTTGGGCAGTGGCTTCAGGGTCACATGATGCTAGGTGACCATGACCTCAGTGGATTCCATGGCGCCAGTTTTTCCAACTCATAATAGTTATATCCCTTTGGATTCCAGATCTTGGCGCCAGCATGGATTCCGGACTTCCCTCTGTCCGTCTCCGTACCGTCAGGTCCGTTCGGTCAACCTCCGGTCCCGGTCCGTTTGGCCTGTTTGCTCTTCAACGTGCTGGCCGCGTTCCGTCGCAGGTCCACGTTGCGGTCGCGGTGCCTCGGAGCGGACGCGACCGTCAACGCTGCGAACGCCGAACGTGCACGCTAGAAACTTGCAAACAATCCCAGCAATCCAACATAATCCAGCAATCCAGAATCGAGGAATGCGAGACTTAAAATTAGGGAAACACTTATGACCATTTTGGATTGCAACCCAAAACAATGCCAACAGCTTTATGCTATGCCAAAGGGGTGAACTGTCCTAGCAAAAGCACGGACAAGCATCACAAAACATCCCAGGATTCCCAGGTGCTTGCTGAGGTTGATCCGAGCCCTCTGTGACATGGAGACTGCTCTTGCCCAATACTCTCCTGGAAAGGCGCGGTGCGACCCACCGCGCCTTTGCATGAAACACATGGCAGACAGGAAGCCATGGCAATGACCTTTGGTGTTCAAAAATCAATGGGTGAATTTACATGTTTAGTGGAATTGTTCATTATTAATTAGAATCTGTAGTTTATATATTGGGTCATCAAACGTTCCTTGGAGTGTTTGTTGGAATTTATTGGACATGTTTATTTGTTATGTCATTGGAACGGTGGAAACTCCAAGTTCGAGAACATCCACTCCACCGGACCCACCGATGACGACCGACTGCGGCGTGACGTTCCACTGAACAAAAGGATAAACATGTGGCAGTTAGCTATCCCAAACACTCCATGTATGGCATATTTGCCGATCAGTTGGGGTGGTTCCAGGGGTGAATGTAGGCATATATTCCATACATGGAGCGTCTGGGTATGAGACCCCCCCAGAAATCGCCACATCTTCAACTCATGCTGACGAGCCGTCTCTTTCATGTGTCCCCGTTTCCACCGTGGTGGGCGGACTTTGCTCTTCTCGTCCTTCGCTCAGCTCGCCCGCGGTGCGGCGCTTCAGCAAGCTCGCCAGCTCTGCCTGCGACTTCCGGAGCAGCTCCCGACCAAATCGGTCCAGGCTCACACGCACCAGCAGGCCACGGGCATACCTGCGTTCCGGGCATACCCCCGTTCGGTCGGGTCTTGTGGATCGTTTCTTTTTGGTATGTGCTGTGGTGCTTCCTTTGGAATTTTTGTCAGGAAGCATTGACATGGTGCTTCCTTGGTGACAAGAAATTGATGGTGATTAGACCGATTAGACCTCTAAAAAGCGAGCTG